GCTCAGGAAGCTAGGGTTTCGAGGATGAAGACGACTAAAAAAAATAAAAATAAAAATAAAAAAAGGGGAAAAGGGAACAGGTCTGTTCTGGGTTATTTCGACCCGAATCGACCCGCAACCGAGATCCAACCCGCCACCTGAGATTCGACCCGAGAACATGATCCGCAAAACTAGCTAATCTAACTAGAACCAGCTGCTGGGTTAACTCACTGTAACTCGCAATGCTGACTCGCCCTGCTAAATCTATTGGGTTGACTCCAAGTTGACCTAATTGAATAAAATAATAAAATAATAAAATAAAATTATACCTAAAATAATTTATTTTATTTGTTTTATTTTAGGAACCTTTGTTAATTAATGTTATTGCCTCAGTTTATATGCAAATATCTTGGTATACATGTTATTATCTAGAAAAGCGTGCCAAAATTAATATTTGTTTAAAAAATTTTATATATATCTTTATGGGATATATGAGAAAATTGTGAATTGATAAGAAAATGTAAGTTTGGGCAATTGTTTATCCCTGTCTTGGAGCTTTGTCAATTGAGTAAATGTGTACTGCCACAGTGGTCCATTTGCAAAATTGATAGGGTTACCTGTTTGGGATGTTGTGTCATTTGAATTGATTCATGTTTTGATGTACCCACAGGTGATCAGCTCACTAATTAATTCAAATTGACATATATTTGTTGAAATGCTTTTTTGACAGTAAGAATCTTTCTACCCACAGGTGTTGGTATTTTTTGTAATTGTTGTTTGGTGTAATACATTCTCCACCCACAGGGGAGTTTGTGTTACATGTTTCACATTTCTGTATGCTTATAGATTGCCCATGTTACTAACGATTTTCTTGTTATTTTCAGTTCCAATGACTTTCTGTCTCAGTAATAATATTAATCAAATTAAGATTCTCACTAGGAATAATTACAAAAGATGGAAGAGGACATTGAATTGGCACTTACTTTAATAGACCTTGAAACAGCAATCAAAGATGATCAACCTGTACTCACTTATAGGAGCACTGATGAACAGAAAGCACGCTACGAGAAATGGAAAAAGGTCAATTGCAAGGCCTTAATGCTTATCAAGAGATCTATCGATGAGGCAGTTGTAAAGGCAATTCCAGACTCAACAAATGATAAAACTTTCTTTGAATCTATTGGGAAGAGGTATGCAGTATCTGGCAAAGTCGAAGCAAGTCAGTTAATGGAAAGTCTTATTCACATAAAATATGATGGGGTAGGGGGTGTTAGACAACATATATTGAAAATGGAAACTATAGCCAATAAACTCAGTGACCTCAAATGCCCTTTGCCTAATACCTTCCTTATTCACCATGCATTGAGTTCCTTACCCTCCAAATTTGATACCTTGAAAACTTTCTACACTATCCAAAAGGAGGAGTGGGATTTGAATACCTTGATTTCTGTCTGTGCCCAAGAGGAGGAAAGCTTGAACAATGTTGTTCCTGAAAGTGTGAATTTATTCTCTCAAGGTAACCATAAAAAAATCTTTTAAGAAAAAGGGAAATAAATTCCAGGGAAACAAAAGTTCCAATAATAAAAGGTCTAGTCCGTCTCACGAAGCCCATGGTCCAAAACCTGATCTTCAAAAGAAAGAATTAAAGTGTTGATTTTGCAAGAAAGTAGGACACAAGAAGTCAAATTGTTATGCCTTTAAGACCTACATGGAGAATAAAAACAAAGGTAAGTCACTTACTTTCGTTTGTTATGAATCTAGTTTAATAGATGTTCCCTTAAATTCTTGGTGGATTGATTTTGGGGCATCCATTCATGTTACTAATTCATTGCAGGGGTTCAAGAGCAAACGAAAGCCAAGCGATGCTAATATTAACCTGATCGTAAGAAATGGGAATAAAGTTGATGTCAAATTCATAGGAACCGTAGAATTGAAATTAGATTCAGGATTTATCTTGCATTTAAAAGACATTGTTTACGTACCATCCATGAGACAGAATTTGATTTCTTTATCAAAACTTGATGATTGTGGGTTTTCATTTAATTTTAGTAAAGGATTTTGTTTTCTATCATATGATTCTCAAGTTGTTGGTAAAGCAGTTAAGTTAGATGGTTTATATCGTATAAATCTTGATTTTAATGTTTTCAATTCTATGCATGTTCAAATTGTTGGAACCAAAAGGGCTTTGATCAAAGAAAACTCTTTTTCTTTATGGCATAGGCGTCTAGGTCATATTTCCCAGGAAAGAATTGATAGGTTAGTAAAAGATAATATTCTACCCTCTCTTAATTCTGCAAATCTTAAGGATTGTGTAGGATGTATCCGAGAGAAACTGACCAGGTCAAATAGGAAAGGTTCCACAGGTAGTAAAGAGCTTTTGGAAATAATTCACACTGACATATGTGGTCCACTAAAACCAACACTTTGTGGGAATAAATATTTTATAACCTTTATTGATGACTTTTCCCGCTTTGGCTATGTCTACCTGATTAATGATAAATCTCTGTCTTTGGAAAAATTCAAAATTTTTAAAACTGAGATAGAAAACCAGAGCGGTAAAAGAATAAAGATTGTAAGGTCAGACTGGGGTGGTGAATACTATGGTCGACATGGTGAGACTGGACAGCTCTTGGGACCTTTTGCAAAATATCTTGGGAATTGTGAAATTGTTTCCCAATTAACTATGCCAAGGACTCCCGAGCAAAATGGGGTGGCTAAGAGAAGAAATCGCACCTTGATGGATATGGTAAGGTCAATGATGAGTCAAGCTAAATTGCCTGAATACCTTTGGGGTGAAGCCCTTAAAACAATCATGTATATCCTAAATAGAGTTCCCTCCAAATCTATTCCCAAAACACCTTTTGAACTCTTTAAGGGATGGAAACCTAGCCTTAACCATTTTCGTGTATGGGGTTGTGTTGTTGAGGTAAAAATCTATGACCCTACTATCTCCAAATTGAGCCCTAGAACCACCAGGTGTTACTTTGGTGGTTATCCTGCAAATGCTAAAGGCTACAGATTCTACTATCCTTCTCGTGGAACAAAGATAGTTGAGGCGATCATTGCTAAATTTCTGGAAAATGATCTGGAAGGTTCAGATATCTCAAAAAATGTGGGTTCTAATAATGAGCAGTTTATTGTTCCAGTCTCTATTGTGCAAGAAAGGATCATATATCAACCAACTAATAGGGTGATTGAAGAGCCTGAACAGGATATTTTAAATGAGCCACCACCACCAGCTCCTGAGCAATCCATTGAGATTCCACTTCCTAGATGCTCACAAAGAGAAAGGAGACCAGTTAATCGTAATGATTACTATACTTTCCTTGGAGAATCAGACTTCAACATTGGGAGCTTACCAGATCCAAAAAATTATGGTGAGGCAATTTCAAGTGTTATGTTAGATAAATGGATTGAAGCTATGCATAATGAAATACTTTCTGTGAAACATAATGATGTGTGAGAGATTGTTGAAGCTCCTACCAGTTGTAAGCCCATTGGATGTAAATGGGTATTCAAAACCAAGAAAGATTCCAAGGGTGATGTGGAACGGTTCAAAGCAAGACTTGTAACTAATGTTTTCACACAGAAAGAAGGTATTGATTACAAGGAAACCTTTTCTCCAGTATCCTCTAAAGACTCCTTTAGAATCATTATGGCCTTAGTGACACATTATGATTTGGAATTGCATCAGATGGATGTGAAAACAGCCTTTTTAAATGGGATCTTTATGAGGAGGTTTATATGTAGCAGCCAGAAGGTTTCATAAAGAAAGGTAAAGAACACTTGGTGTAAGTCGAAGAAATCTATTTATGGTTTGAAACAAGCCTCTAGGCAGTGGTATATTAAATTTGATGAAGTTGTTTCTTCCATGGGATTTGTGGAGAATAAGGTAGATCAGTGCATATATCTCAAGGTCAGTGGGAGTAAGTTTATTATTCTTGTTCTTTAGATGATATTCTACTTGCTAGTAATATCAGTGGCTTACTTATTGAGACCAAGAATATGTTATCTACATCTTTTGATATAAAAGACCTTGGGGAAGCTTCTTTTGTATTAGGTATAGAGATCCACAAAGACGAGCGTCGAAAACTTTTGGGTCTGTCTCAACAAGCTTATATTGATCGAGTGCTTAAACTATTTAATATTAAAAATTGCAAGGGTGGTGATGTTCCTATCGTCAAAAGAGACAAATTAAGTAAGAATCAATGCTCTAAGAATAAAATTGAAAGGAGCTCTATGCAGAATATTCCTTATGCTAATGCCGTGGATAGTCTCATATATGCACAAGTGTGCACAAGACCTGATTTGTCTTATACTGTTAGTGTATTGGGCAGATTTTTGTCTAACCCGTGACATGCTTACTAGGTGGCTGCTAAGAAAGTCATGAGATACTTGCAGAAGACAAAAGAATATATGCTTGTTTATAGGAATGTGGATGACTTAAATGTGATAAGATATTCAGATTCTGACTTTGTTGGATGTCCTGATGATGATAAATCCACTTCTTGATATATTTTTAAGTTAGCTAGAGGAGTTGTATCCTGGAAGAGTGTGAAACAAACTCTAATTGCTTCTTCCACCATGCAAGCTGAGTTTGTTGCATGTTATGGGGCTGCGTCACATGCTGTATGGATGAGAAATTTCATTTCTGCACTTGGTATGGTTGACTCTATTTCGAGACCATTGAAGATTTATTGTGACAACAGTTCTGCTGTTTTTCTTACTAAGAACAACATAATGACTTCTGCTTCGAAGCGCATTAGAATTAAGTTTTTAGTTGTTAGAAAGATGGTTGAGAATGGAAAAATTCTTATTGAGCATATTTCGACTGAAAAAATGCTTGTTGACCCATTAACTAAAGGACTTAGGCCGATAGTATTTATAAAACATGTTTGAGAATATGGGTATTGTAAAGTCTTTTGATGTATTTGGTTAGTGGGAGTCTTTATTGTCTTGATTTGACTCTGATATAATGAATATATGCGCATATTTGTTTGTTCTTTTATATCATTACTGATATGATGTTTGTTTTGCAGACTATATCATTGTATTTATATCTTGAGATGTATTTATTTCCTTTGTGGAAATGGTGTTTCATGAGAAACATGTTGTGATCTCCTTGGGGAGATTGGTTATGTTTTCTTACGAAGACACAATGTGGATCTGTACATAGTAGCATGAAAAGTATCACAAAATTTTGCTATAATGTGTATTTTGCACACTTGTATTGTAATCATGCTAATAAAAATCATTGGTTAAGTGATCATTTGGTGAGTTGGACTGTTAGTAGTCTATCTTTATCTATGGTTCTTAACTGATTATTTTATTAGATTGTGATTATGTTTTGTGTGATTGTTATCAGACTGTTTTCTAGTGGCCACTGTTGTTCAACCAGAGAGTCATTTTCAAAATAATTTTCAAATTGTTTAAAATCCAATTAATATTGCCCAAGTGGGAGAATGTTAGAATTTCCTAATATTTTTGGGCTACTATTAATTGATTTTTGTATTCTATAAAAATCTGGTTGAATGGATTGTCTAATATCCCTAGAATTCATTTATTTAAGTAAGAGATCCAATGGATTGGGAATCATCCTGATTTGGGCTTGTGCTCAATTAGTAAGTGTGATATACCCTAAATCTCCTAAGATTTTGTGATTGACAGAATGTAGGTCATTATTCTATAAATAGGACATGATCTCCATTCCACTCTGTATCACTTCAGACTATTTATTGTTCCATCGAGGTAACAGTTATAAGAAGTAGAATTGGTCTAGAAGATCGTGCTCGTGCTGCATTGGGTTACACATTCATATTCATTGCTCCTATACAGTTAGTCAATGACTTCGAGAGGTACATTGTCTTACTTTACTATTGTTGGGTGTTCTTTATTCTAGTATAAAGTGTCCTATAAATCCTTACAATTTATACTTACAACATCATGTTGCATGGGCTGATAAAAAATGGCCATATGGCTGAAGCATTGTCATTATTTCACATAATAAAGCACAAGGGGATGCATATTGATATTAGTACATACTTACAACATCCTAATTGATGGATTTTGCAAGTATGGAAAACGTGAAGCTGCACGGGATCTTTTCAATGACCTTTCTTCAAAGGGATTACTTCTTGATGTTTGGATGTACAATATAATGATATTTGGGCTTTGTGAAATGGCTTGATCAATGAAGCTGAGGAGTTGTTCTTGAAAATGAAGAAGAATGGTTGTTTGCCAAATGAGGTTACTTATAATACTATTGTTGGATGGTTTATTGAAAGTGAGAAAAACCATGAGGTATTGAAACTACTTGACTAAATGATTGCAAGAGGTTTTTCACCACAAAACTATACTTTTTCCTTGGTTGTAAGTCTGATCTGGACAGTTGTTGTGGAGTTATCTTACTGTAGTGTTCATTGCTTATTATGGTATGAACTGATTTCTTTCTTTTTGCTTATGATGATACTAACTATTTCCATTGATTTTCTTTTTTGCTTAAAAGAAATGAGTCATCGTTGTATAATGTATGTGCATTCTATATATATTTTTTATGAAGGAAAATCATTGGCTTGGTTGAAGGCTGTGAAGTTTACCTGTTCAATGTGGAGGGTTAGCTTTTAAAAGATTTGGATAATCTTAGCTTAATGTAGAGATTAAAACTTGTCCATGTAGTTGGTTGCTGGTAGTCAATCTTTATAGTCTCAATTTTTGAAACTTTTTATTATTGTACCAAATTTCTTTTAACTCTTCCTTGAAAGGGAACCGAATCGTAGCTTGGAAACTCTTCAAAATTTATCAATACCCCTATTGTTTGGGTAGAAATTTTTATAGATTTGGCAAATAAAGCCTATTCGGTCTTATCTTATCACTTATGGGTTCATTACCTGGTTGATAGGCTTACTGGTTTTGGTCCTAATTTGGGCTAAGTCATGAAGAAAACCAGGTGTATTGAAGTGCAATGGAGCTATACCTCTTCCCTTGAATTCAGAACCAAGATAAAACTAGTATGGAGGTACTCATGGAATTGGCAATTTAATGTATAATCTACTCTTTTGCTATTATGTGCTGCTGGTGAATTGTCTTCCTAGCAGTGTAGTGCCATTAAGTTTCATGGAAGTTTTGTAATTTTCTTCAATATCAGGTTTCTTATGTGGCTTATCATTCATGACATGTTTCCAAATACAATTAGTCAGTAGAAATGTTATATCCAGTCTGCCTCTGACTTCATTGTTAACCTTCTTCCCCAGTTGAAACCACCTGATTTTGACTACAGTTAAGAAGTAACCAAGTAACAATGTTGTGGAAATTCCATAATTATGTGGAGGAAAGGGCTAAAAACCGCTCATTTCACACTACTTACACTATTTCTTGCTGAAAGTTTTCCACTGGTTCTCATATGCAGCGTTATTGTTGGTTTGGCATAATTTAGGAGCTTAGAGACACTCTCCCTTACTTCTTTACTCTTACATTTTATTGTTTATGTGTAATGCCAAAGATAAACTATAGGTGCTCTATTGCTAATGTGCAGTTATTAACTTCTTCCACAGGGTTGAGCATAATAGTATATCATATACACAAGTATGCCTACATTAGGAGTACACAATTATTTCCTTTGTCTTCCTTTTCAGTTTGAGTCCTTATATCCATTCATGTTTTGTTGATTTCAAGTTCTGTAAGTTTTCTAAGCATTTGATATGTGAAATTTAAGAAACAGTGCATCCTAGAATGTTGAAATAGACCATGCCTGGACCAAGAACAGAGCATAGTGTTGCCAATTAGTCAGCTAAAGGAAGTCATACTTGAAAGAATTGGTTATTGAACAAGAAAACCCAAAGAATAGTATGCAGAATGGGACATAGCAGCACTACAGCATGAGATGTGGTTGAAATCCCATGACCAAATAGATGTGAAAGTATCAATATTTGTGAATTAGTTCTTTTCTCTGAGTAGTTTCTATATTACCAGTTGCTGACACAACAGTGAAGGAAAAAATATGGTAGAAATTACAAACTATAAGAGGTTATAGCATGCACAGAACATAAATTCAAGCCCTATCATGTTTCAGTTCCTAGTCCCTCCAGTTACACAATTGGTAAAAACCCCTGTTGCCATGGGACTTAAAGATTAAACAACTATAATTTTATTCTAATTATTTTTAACCACTGGCTGCTCTTCAGCATCTGTCATAATTCTTCGTACAAATGGTACCGAGTAAATTTACTTTTTTTGAAAAGAGAACAAGAAAATTGCATTCTAATATAGAGGCAAGCCCCAACCCATTTGCTGAGACATCTTCTGCTATTCTTTTTCTTTTTTTGGTAGCTCATCTTCTGCTATTCTAAATCTTTATATTTTAGTCTCCAGTGGTGCTAGGCAAATGGGTTGGGGCTCCTGGTGGATGCATATAAGCAGGCGCCGGGCTGTTGGTGTTGAAGGTTCTAGGAGTGGGTTTTTGGTGGCTTTGCTAGTTTTTGGGTAAACACTTGAGCATTGGTGGGGCATTCGCTTAGATGTTATGGTTTGATCTAATTTTTGGATTCAACAAAGTGTAAAGTCAATTCAAGGCCTATTTGGAATTTTTTAACAAAAGATTTGCTTTTTCTTTAAGAAATTTTTGGTCCAAAATAGACCTTTTATGTAAACTTGTTGATAAACTTGGAAGTGGAAAAAAATAAGTTTTCTACATTTTTTAGAAGCTGTTAGAAAAACTTCTAAAATTTGCTTATGTCTCATTCAATATTAAAATGACAATTTTATCCTTGCCATGTTTCACACAACTTCTTTTACTCCCAGCATTTGATGCCCTTTGAATTGAGATTCTAACCACCAGTGTTTGGCATTTGGCGAGGTCATGGAGTATGCCAAAAGCCCCAACGCTCGACACCATCTTCCATCTCCTCTCTATGCCTTATGGACTAGTAACGAAGCATAATCAATGAGATCATCGAGTAGACCAGAAGCCCCAATGCTTGACAACTTCTTCCATCTCCCCCTGATGCCCTTTGGAATGCTGATGAAGCAAAATCAACGAGATCGTTGATGAGACCAGAAACCTCAATGCACAATGCTCTCTTCCCTCTCCTCTCAACACCCCCTAGCAAAATTGGGGGGATTGTTACCCAAACTAGAAGCTCAATGCCTGAGATGGTCGACCAGACCGGAAGCCCCAATGATAACTAGACGCCATCTTTCCTCTCCTTCTGATGCCATTTTCCCTCTGGAGCACTAACTAGCTCCAGAAGCCCCAAGCACCAGCACTGTAATCTTCTTCTTCCTCCCCAACTCAAAGACTCTACTCTTCTATATTTTTATCTAGACAGCTGAAAAATACAAAATAACTCTTACTTCTATAAAATCACTTTTGAAAACAACCCATAGGCTGTAAAAAAATCCTTAGTTCTAAATTACAATTTTAGAAATTTAATCCCTGAATTTTTCAATACTTAAATCTTCAAATTTTAAAATCTCCAAATCCAATTTTAAAATGCTTGGGATGTAATTTTTTTGTACCAAATATTTTAGCTCTCTTTTTACACGTCATAAACTTATGAAGGCACGTAAAACTTAAAATTGAGAACAAGAAAACTTGTCCCATTTCACCATATATATAGGTGTTGTTCCTAGTAAGGCCATGAGAGCCTTGATTACTTGATTAGATTTTCTTTTCAAGAACTTGCACTTACGAAGTAACACTCTAAGAAATGGTGCAACGCGTGTTGATACACAAAATAAGAACTAAACCCACTAAGTATAATATGTTATAGTTTCTTTTAAATCTTACAAAATCTTAATCTCAATGGATTTACAAACAGGATAAGCGTAATACCTTCACTAAATCACCCAAATTGACCCATTTTAATAAAATCTACCAATAATAGAAATCCACTCTATGGAAATTAATAGAACAATTCCAACATGATATACATGCAATCCAAATCTATTTTAGGCTTTTGAGGTTAAAATATTGGGCAAAATACATTTTAACACTAGTTAATAGAAAGAAAGAGAAAAAGTTATTTTCGTACCTCAACTTTCATTTAAATTGTAAAACTGTCCATCCTAATTTTATCAAAAATATATCTTCATTAAAAAATTAAAAGGAAAAATTAAAAGTTTGTATTATTAGAGAACAAAAAGACAAAAAAAAAGACTTGAATATGATTTTTCTCTATTCTACTTTATTCAACATTCTCTCCATTTTTTCTATATCTATACTCATTTTTTCATAATTTTATTCATAAATTCTAACTCAAATGTGCCAAATTTTCTTCTAATTTTTTTGGGCAAATATAATCCACGACATTGTATGTTTTAAATATTGAATCACAATTAGCTTCCAATTTGATTATTTATCTTTTAAATAGTATTTATTTATTTTTGTTGGAGAATAAGATCATAGAAAACAGAAAAAAAAAGAAAATTTTAAATATTTGTACATTTGTATTATTTTTAAATTTGTTCAATTTATTGCTTTGCTTTCATTATTGAGTGAAAATGATAATATGATTTTTTAAAAAAAAAATTCTTAAATAAATAGAGCATAATTTCTAAAAGTTATACTAAGAATAATTTTTAAAATTAATGCCAAACATTGTTATTTTTGAAAATATAAAATAATTTTATATAACAAATACAAACATCTTATCATTCTCTATTTAAACAAATTTATTTTCTTAACATACAAATATGTAATTTTATATCGTCAACATGCAAAGAAAATAACACAGTTAATCAAACTCTAATTTATCACTGGATATACCCATTGCCCAATCACCTCATGCCTCCCATCATCTAACGCATTCTACAGCTTAATAATTATGTCTAATAACTATTTATTTTTTACTATCATAAAATAAAAGATAAATAAAATATATAATTGACATTGAAAATAATTTAAAATATCTAATGAATATCGCATAAGTAATAATGCACTCTCATATCTACAGAGAAAAATCATATTTGAATATTTGAAAACACAATTTTGAGTGGGAATAGCCATAGTACCTAAGTAGAATTAGTCCCAAACCTTAAAACGAATGAATATATTGTAAAAATAAAAAACAATAAATTTAAAATAGTTGGAATTTAAATAAAATTATTTAGAAAAATTATGAAATATAAAAATTTAAAATAAAAAGAGTGAAATAAAAATGTTTAATTATATAAAAAAATTTAAAATATAAAAAATTAAATATTTTGTTAAAAATTATTCTTTCCAACTTTTCTCTCTGTCTTGGAACTTCGGAATTATACATCATATCCTCTCCATCTTCAAGCTAATAGAGAAGACAGAGGGCACGTTGGATAGAGTAGAAATAGTGAAAAATGGTATCCAAGTCATTTTTTTCCAATCAAATGATATAAACTTCCAATTTTGTCCCTTAGTTCTATGGTGAATGGGTATTTTTAATAATAATCAGGGTATCAATTGTCAAAATTATAATGTTGAAGTGTAAAATACTAAAAAATCCAATCTTTGGGCCGCAGTCTACCAAAAACTTTAGAAATAATTGAAAACAAATAGTGAGGAACACCAATCATTTTAAATTTGGAAAGCTCCAATTTAGGGTAAAAATCAAGGGACTTAGTCTAGCCAAACTTTTCCACTATAATAAATATAGTAGGTATATCAGTTCACACATACACTTCTTTGGATCAATAACCAATCCAATAAACTATTTAAGTTTAATTATAAATGGCAATACAAAACCAAACAAACAACTTTTTTGGAACAACTAAAGAAAACTAGAAATTGCATTGGAATTTAGAATCCTATTCGTCGGCGGCAACTGAATGAAGAAAATTGTAGTTTTCTTTCTAGAATTATCGGCCCCACATTCTTCTGTTTGCCACTTCTCCACATAGTGGTATGTGGAGTAAAGCCCAAGTAATTAATGCTTCCATGGCTTCTTCTCGCAGATGTATACTAGTTTGTGGAGTAAAGCTTAAGTTGGTTTGCCGTCCAAGTTTGCTTGCCATCCAGGTTTACTTCCTGCCCTTGTCTGCTTGCCGCCCAAGTTTGCTTGTTGCCATTGACGGAGCAGTGTCCTTAAGGGGGTTGTAACATAATTATCATATAAAATAAAAATTTCCCTCCCATGAAAAAAGTTTTGCTCCTGCGTATTTGTATATATACCACACTCAAAGACTTGGTATGAAAAAAAAATAGATAGTCATAATTAAGGTTGAAATAAATCCAGAATTGATGAGCTATTAATGGTCTAAAATAAAAGAAGAATAATGTTGAAAAATTCTTTTAAAATAATAGCAGATTTTAGGGACTAAGATGTAAAATATTATAACCAATGTATTGTTCACTTCTTCTGCACATGACCGATTATTTACGTCTAAAGAAGTAAGTTTTTATTCTATAATTTAAAATAAGCAGGCATGAAAGTAAAACATAATATATAATTATAATTTATTAAATTATTTTTTATGTTGTTTACTTTTATATTTTTGTCCTATCATACTTGGGAGGTGTTTGCAAATACTTGTGAAAAAATCAGAAGTGAGTATTTTAAGTAAAAGTGAGTAAAATAAATTATAATTAGAAATAATGGATGTTTGCAAAATAAGTAAAAAAAACTTTCGAAATCAGTAAAATAGTATTTTGAAGATAATTTTGTAAAGTGATTGTGAAAAACTTTTGAAATAAAAAGATTATCTACCCTACATACAATTGTTTTATTTTATTTTTTCCCATTATTTACAATATTTCTTTTTTTTTTTTCTCTCATCTCTCATCTCTCTCTCCCTTTCTTTCCCCTACTCCTCGGTCAGTGGCCACTACAATGGTCAGGAACTTGTTGCCCACTAGGATCGAAGTCCCCTCCCTGTCAACAGCCCCTCCTAACAAATCAGGTGCCCAGCAACATCAATTGACAACGGCGATCAACGATGTGGCCCCTCCCCATCAACATCCCCTCCTCATCGCTACCCCCCCTTCCCTGTCGCTGCACACGGCGATAGATGTCATTGCACACAGCAGTAGCCCCCCTCCCCGTCGACAACCCTCAGTGACACCCTCCCTCCTGCGACACCACCCCTCTCCAGCTTTCATGGGTAAGGTTGAAGATAATAAAAAAAATTAAAAGCAAAATGGTCAAAACAACTTTAGAACAGTTTAAAATTAATTACAAAAATACTGTTAAAAACTAGAAGCACCTTATCCCCTATTTAAAACTTTTTTACTATTTACACCTTAATTTAAATAAAAAAAAAATTAAAAATAATTTTATAATCATTCAAAATCACTTTTTAATAATTAAAAAGCCCATAAACTACAAACAACCTCCGTAAATTCTACGTCCATCAGTTTTTGTTTCCCAGGCCTTTTATTTTTATTTAATGCTCAAGGAAGGACTTGATGTGACAACATGGATACAAGGAAGTAACAAAAGACGCCAGCTAGTCAAGAAGTAATTTTCTTCTGTTTTCCATTGTCAACTTGGAGATGACAATAGAACTATTTTCTAC